CAAAAGGTCATCGTCCGTGCCCCCGAGAGTGGGAAGTGGCGCCCCCGCGGCAAAAGTGACAACTGCCCGACCGATCCCATCACACTGACCTGAATCGAGTCGAAGGAAAATGTTGAAAGTTAAAAACCAAAACAAAAAAAAAAAAACAAGCCTTGGGAGGAGGCGGCGAGACGTCCGGGAAAGAACTCAAAAGAGAAGAGCTCGATCCGACCTGAACTCCGCCTCTTCTTGTGTCACGGTCTCCCTGCGTCGCGTCACGCCCAGGTTTCATTTTGGAATGAGTGCGTGACGCGAGTCAGGCAAATGCAGGCGCGCTTTGTGGAAGCGGCGCATTTCTGGAGTTGGCGCCACCAAGGTGGTCCGGATGGAGAGAAGAAGGCGGGGAAGGCTTTGAGTTCAAGCATGCGCCGGTGTCGTCACTGTACTCCACCTCCAGAAAGTACTTTGAACCCCCTACTTGGACCATAGCAAGGGAACGTAGCGAGCAAACTTTCATTCGATGAAATGACGCAATGCGCTGTTGCTTCAAGCGGCGCTCGCTTCGCTTCAAGTGTCAGCCGGCAAGACGTGAATGCGGCTTCGCTTCACTCCTCCTCGTCCCCGCCCCCCGAGGCTCCGACCGAAGCCACGCCCCTCACTCATGCGCGCCGTTCTCAAACATTCGCGATGCCGCGCCAAGCGGAAAGAGTGCATTCCGATCCCAACACCGCCGTTCTGTTGGCGGCACGCTCTCAAACACGTAACGTCCCGGCGGTGATCGGGACTACGGGGGACTGACGCCCGCGGAACCACCTCCCAGATCGACCCCGGCAAAACTAAGGAGCACGCTTGTGGATTCCCGCGGGAAACGGTCCTCACCCGCACCGATGAGCATCCCAGGTTAACGGACATCGAGAGGGTGACCTCCCACAAGTGCCCGGGCGGTCTTCTCACCAATAAACGAGCCCAGTCTACCAACACGGATGCTCTGATCAGGAAGGGGCGGAGCCCCGGCTCTTCCTACTCAGAAAACGGAGGTCTTTTAGGGTTCAGGGGGTCACTCCTCGAGACCTTCTATCACTCTGTGGTGGCCTCAGTCTGCCGGTCAGGCGGCATCTCAGGCCGGGGACGGGGAGAGGCTGGACCGACTGGTCAGGAGGGCCGGCTGTGTCCCGGGCTGCCTCTGGAGGAGGCGGGCAACGGGAGGAAGCTAGCCGAGCTAAAAGCTATGATGGGCAGACCCCCCCCCCCCTAAGTACCCTTCTTGTTCTTCTACTTCTCCCTTTCATCATTTTGCTGCTGTTAATTGGGAATTTCTCCATTGTGAGACAAATAAAGCATTTTTTTATATTGCAGTAGGCACTTCCCGATTTGTTTTTTTTTTTTTTTTTTGGGGGGGGGGGGGGTTCCTAGCAGAAGCCGGAAGGTTTTGTGTTCACCGCTACTGTATTTCAAACTGTCCAAATTTCCCTTCACCTTAACCCAAGGCTTCTGGTCCAGCTGAAGAAAAACAGGATTTTTTTTTTTCTTGGGGGGAGGGGCTGATTTTGGTGGAATTATATGGACAAAAGAGTTGAAGATTTTTTTTTGTATTCGGGATCTTTTGTTCCGGTCAAATGAAAATGGTTTTTGGCCATGTACGTTTGGTTCCATGAAACGCTCCCACGAAAAAAAAAGCAACCTACCGCTCCAAGCCCGAATGACCTCCCCGAGGAAGCGTCTCGAGTGAGACCCAAAGGGAAGTTTCAGCTCCAGACTTTCATCCTTGTAACTCACTCGCACTCGTGTATCAGCACCTTTGAGAACACGGGGGTGGGGGGGGGGGTTATATTGGACACTGCACAAAATACACACGGCAAGAATAAGAAAGAAAAAAAAAAAAAAAGCCACTCACCGACAAGTACGAGCTCCTCGGGGGAGGAAACTGTAAAAGAGGACAAAGATGTTTGAGAGTTAAGCTGGAGAACAGGGGCGGGGCACCGGTTTTCGATACCTCTCTCCGTCAACACACCCGATTCAAACGATTGGATCGCCAGCAAGCGCCGCACAGGCCCCAAACCATCACTGACAAAACTGAATCAGGTGTGTTGGAGTGAGGCGGGACGGGGCCGCGGGTCCCTACCCCCGCTCTCCAAAGTCCTTTATTTCAGCAGTACTCAGCTCGTTCGTTGCGGCGCACGTCAAAACCAAACGCACGGACTCATCGAGCGTCCGCTCACCCTCGACGACGGCAAAGTCCAGGTCGATGGGTATGACGTCCTCCAGCGACACGTCGTCTGCGGTAATGGCCATCCTCCGATGGGTATAGATAAAGATGCTGTCAGAAAGTAAAGCAAAAAAAAAATCGAGGAAAAAAATGACGAGCGGCTCTGTCGCCACGCGGATCGGGCGGACACTTCATTGGGTCACCGTATTGAGTTTGGATCGACGCGCGACGGGACTTTTGACAACTCACGCGTGTTCTTTGGCGGCCTCCACCAATCCCAGCAGTCTGCTCTCAGTCACGTCGTCCAAGAGGACGTCACATTGCACCGCGTGTTTGACGCCGCCGTTCAGGAAAATGCGACGGGATTGCCTGAAAACACGCGCCTCGCAAAGACATCCAGCTGGAGGACCGACGTTTGATCATTTTTCTCGGGAAACAGCAAATCGCTTGGATGCACGCGACTGTTCCTTCCATCGCTCGATAACACCTTACTCTGTATGTTTATGATGATGATTCTTTTGATTTAATTTTGAAAGGACACGAGTTGACCCCGCCTTTTCCCGTTTCATTATTATTCCCGAATGAATACTTTTTGCCACGTGTGATCCGCACACGAAGAACACCGAATAGGGAAGGCCGAGTTACGACGCATTCATAAGCATCAGTTTCCAAAAAACGTGGCGCGTGTTTTTTTTTTCCCCTTTTCCGTTGGAGCTCCGGCGCCATCTGGTGTCTAAACGGGGTCACTACCAAAACTTGGCTCCCAATTTAATTTGGGGTCGTCCCACCCGCGAAACACGCAAGCGTGTCCCCCCCCCGAGCGTAGTTTTCTCGTCTAAAATGCGGCACGTCGCTGCCTTTTTTGTTGCATGAACTCAAGCCTCTTAACGGACCCGGACGGGATTAGAAAACCGAATCGGAGATTAGGCGCGCGCGACGAAGGCAAAAGGATACTAAGATGCAGTTTTCGTCCCGTTGGAGGCCGTCTTGGATGGCGACCGACTGATCCATGACGGCCGCGGTGCGTCTCGAGGCAACTTGCAGCAAGTCCACGCGCGTGGGGGGAGGGGGGTCGTCGCGGATCTCATGAGTGGGGCGACGACCGAAGAGGTCGCAAACGGGACTTTTCGCCTTGCGCCCGCGCCCCTCAAGTCCGCTCGTTTTGAGGACCAAACGCTCACGACTGCCACGCACCCATTCTGAAGCCCGCACCCCAGTGACGTCAGCACCGGGCTGTCAAAACACACGCGCCGACATCGCGAAACAACTATTTTGGAGGGGGGGAGGCTAGCCCCCCCCCAAAAAAAAATCAGTTTTGGGCGTGATTGTGTTGCGGTTGTCACGTGATGAGCGTCATTTGAACCCAAAAGCAGACAGGAAGCGGAAGTAGGAGGTGGGGGGGAAAAAAAACCCAACCCAGAGTCTTTATATGGCACAAAGAGGCAAGGAAGAGCGCAGCGGGAGGAGTTTTTCAAAGCTTGACTTTCTGACAGCGTGTCACTGTGCAACCCCCCCCCCCCCCCCCCCCCCCCCCCCCCTCTCGGAGAGTTGCGGATGTGAAATCCTCAGGCCATGCCCGAGCTGACATGACAAAAACAAAAAAAGTCTTTTGGGGTTGCTTTGTAACAAAACGAGGCCAGATTTGGGCCTCGCTTTGTAGAGGGGGATTGTTTTTTGGGCTAACTCACAAAGTTGGGCGGGTCACTTTTTCACCCAACTGTTTCCGAGCGTGTACGCGCACAAATAATGCCCTGCGTGGCTTTTCTTCGGGTGTTCCAAAAACACACAATGGACGACTCCAAACGGTCGTTATTTGCGAGCGGCGTTCAGGGTGTCGCTCGCCTACAGCTGGGCCAGGCGCTCGAGAGGATAAGCGGTTACGATTTTCTGGGCCAGGCGCTCGTGAGGATAAGCGGTTACGAGTTTAGCGTATCACCTATCGAGTGTCTCAATAGGCTTTGAAAAACGTGACAAATACAGTAGTGGCGAAACGATTCACGAGTCATCGCAAAACGTCCTGACAAAAGGTGCCCGCGTGTGATTGGCCACTTGTTGCTCAGCGGAATTTGCCATTCGACCGGGCAACTAAAATAGCGCCGTCCGTCCGCCATCTGAGCTACTTGTCCTCAAATTCAAATTTCAGATTCATTCTCCAAGAAACACAACCGCCTAAAAAAACGGAGAGTCAAACGTAAAAGCTCCCAGTGGGATTGTTGCGACTTCCGGGATTGCCGGCGCCATCTGGTGGAACTCCGAGAGTTGCGGCGAAAGCGTTGCGGTCGGCGCGCAGGCCTTGGCGTGAAAAGTGGCGTCCACGTTGCCGGATAAGAGCATTGCCACTCAATCTTCAGGAGATTTTATTTCCATATTTTGTACAAGACAAAAACTCTTGGCTTGATGCCACATGGAGCTTCAAAGTGACTTTGGACACGTCGTCTCCACGACGCTATCCGCGAGGAGACGCAAAGGTGCAATTACCGCAACGAGAAAAGGAACTCAAGCTAATATGCCTATGCGAAGCGATTTCCAGCCGCCCCTGAAACGACCCGCGGTTGCATCCGAACAGGACGGAGCGCCGTCATTCTTCTTGCCGTGGCGTTGCGAAGGACGGAAGGGAAGAGAAAGGACAATTCGTCGGGCACGCCCGCGCGACGCCAACGGACGCTCCGTTGTGAACGGGCGACATTCGTTATTTGCGAGCGGCGTTCAGGGTGTCGCTCGCCTACAGCTGGGCCAGGCGCTCGAGAGGATAAGCGGTTACGATTTTAGCGTGCACCTATCGAGTGTCTCAATAGGCTTTGAAAAACGTCAAAGATCAAACGTGACGGACGCGGCTGAATTTTCTCCCATCGCCGCCTCTTGAAAGCGCTTCGCTAACAGCCGCGGCTGTCGTGAAAGCGCTCTCAAGACGTCCGGCCTTGCACTGAAATACTCCCATCCAAATGGCCAGAGGCCTTGAAATAAAACGTCTTCAAAAAAAAAACAAACAAACCCAAAAAAAAAAGACAATCGCACACGAGCAACAGAGACGACGAAACGAGGGCGCGCGCGTGGCGGCCTCACATCAGGAGGCCCAAAGCCAGCAGGACGAGGAGGCACAGCGCCAACGGCGACGGCGCGGCTCCGGCGGCTCGGGCGGCCACGTGGTTGAGCGTCCCGTTGAGCCGCAGGCAGGACGCGCTGGCGACGGCCACGCAGCACTCCAGGTGGCAGGGAGGAATGGCGGCGTCCCGGCACGGCGGCTGGCCCGAGCAGTCGGCGGCGCAGCCCGCTGTCCACCGCGTGGCCGACTGGACCGTTTGCTTGATCAGCTGGGGGGGAGCCGTGAAACGAGACGCGGCATACGGTGAAAGCTGCCTGCCGTCAGTTTTTTTGG